CCGAGGCACCTGGACCTGCAGCTCAGGCACTAGAACAGCCATCTGCCACTCCCTTCCCCTCCCCAAGCAACTTATGATTCAGCACACCATCTGCCTCTGGTTTACAACTGCTTCCTCACAGTTTGTTGCACTGTAGCTCTAACCTCTAAACTCCCAGTGAGCGATTCTCTCACCACTAGCCCTCCCACAGCTGCCAGTACTCAGCAGGGCTGACTGCCTCCTCTTAAGGGGACAGGCCAGCCTCTTACACACTTGAAAACTCATGCTGTTGTTTTCTTGTATAAAACAAGGTAAATGCATCAGTTATTGCAAGTAACGAAATGTATGTGATGAATTTGGTTCAGTTGCTAGTTTTGTACACAGTGTTGCCTTCACATTAAGAAAAGTAGAAGAGATCAGCCTCCATTAACACCTTGCTTCCTTGTCTTTAAAACTAAAATGGGGTCTCCTAGCTGCTCTTCCATGTGCTTTCAGACGATAGATATTGGGTCACCATTAGACTGGAAATTGTAGACTTGTGTACTCCCATGGTGCTTGAATTCTAGCAGATGACATACTAAATGTTTATCCAACAGTTATGTGAAATATCCTGCCGCTACTGTCTGGTACAAAGGTGAGTCAATGACAGTTCTTCTGCATTGGAAACTTGCAGGATGATGATCAGGGTATATCAGGGTATACTAAACCTTTTTGCCCTGTTGGTGAGATGGATAGTGCCTGGTTCATCTGCAGGCCAGATCCAGCCAGTGGGCTCAATGAAGCCACGTAGAGGTGAGGGGGTATGACCAGCAGCATAGGGGGAAAGGGGCATGGCCCAGCTCAGTCCACCCATGTGGGTGGGGGAAAGGGGATATGGCCCAACCTGTCCAGCCATAAGGGGAAAGGAAATATGGCCTGGCCCTGACCCAGCCATGTGGAGCTTTGGCAGTGTGGGGAGTGATGGCAGTATTAATTTTGCCCACTCACCTGCCACCAAATTGCCCAACCCATAGGGAGCTCTGCAGGTTGGGTGCCATGGCTCTTTGGGCTGGATTTGGCCTACAGGCCTGGTGTCCAGCATATATATATATAAATTAGGGCTGTGCGAAGCTTCAGCTGCTGATTCAATTCAGTGGAGATGTCGCCCGATTTGGTGGCTGAATCTCCAAATCCAGATTGAATCAGGAGACCCTTTAATATCTCCGAATTGAATCAGAACCCTCTGAATTGATTCAGAAAGATTCGATGATTCAGACAGACATAGTTTAAAATTCTTTTTCTATATACCTCAAGGTACCAGGGGGCTCCTGAATGCTGAAATTGGGTGGATGGAGCATCCCACAGGAGTTGGGGGGGGAGGCGTATCTCCAGCACACTTAGCAAACCCAGCAGCAGACTAGAAGCACTTCTGGTCCACTTCCGGGTCCGTGGGGGAGCATGCAGGGGGGCGCCCCCTGTGCCTCCATGCTTGGCAACTGGTACCTCCTGGGTCTGGGGGGACACCCAGGGTCATCCTGCAGCTGATTGCTGAGCAGGGGAGGTGCGGGGGGTGCCCCTGCGCACTCCCTGACAGACCCAGCACTTTCGGTCAACTTCCTGGTTCACCACCGAGCATGCAGGGCCCCTGCTTCATCCATCCCAGCATTGCATCATTCATGAGCTGCACCTGGTACCCCGAGCTATGTAGAAAAAACATTTAAAGCTGTGTCTATGGCTTAATCACTGATTCTCCGAAACAGCATCGAATCTTCAGATTCGGATTCAGCCAAATCAAATCAGGGACAGTGATCTGATTCAACGAATTGAATCACTGACCCCAATTTGGGCTTAACCTGAATCCAAATGGAATATGGCCCATTTTGCACACCCCTTATATAGATAGATAGATAGATAGATAGATAGATAGATAGATAGATAGATAGATAGAAATGCATATTGGTGTATATTATTATATCATTAGTATATTATTCAGGTATCAGTGGTTCAGCAGAGAAGTCCATTCAGACAATCAAACAAGCACTGAATTTTTCTTAAGGATGAAAATATATTCATAGATACCATGCTAATTTCTAAATTATCCAGTCAAAACTATGTTACTACAAAGCTATACCACTACAAAAGAATCTCCAGTGTTACTGCAAACACTAAGGATAATTTAGGTAGCAGAACAGATAGTGCCAAATACAGAAATCAAACCCTCCAAGTATAAATGCCTTAGGTTAAATATTTAAATTCATGTTTATGTACTTAAATAAATAACCTGAGCTTCAGAGCTTTTCAGTACCTCTGAAAAATGTGCCTATTTTAAAATAAATGTGAATATATATTACTTTAAGATGCCCAAGTTTAAACTTTTTAGGCAGACCTTTAAAACCAAATCAGGTAGTTTTAGCTCACTGTTTTAAAATATATTACAGGAAGTGAATGAAGGCAAATGGATTCTTGCCATGAGTAGAACCAATATTGTATATACTGGACACACACAATTAGAGGGTGCCAATTCGCTACACTACAGGATGAGTTGACCATATCCATGGCACGTTGCTGGTAGAAAGAGTGGTTTGTTATTCACTGGTAAAGTGAAACCTCTGTCAGAAAGACAGTGGAGCTCAGCATTTTTTTTTAAATTTCTATTCTGTTCTGAGGGGAAAAAAGGGCATATTTTTCAACTGTTTTAGCTCAGTCAAGGCAGCTTAGTACAATTGAAAAGCTATGTTAAGAGGTGATTAAGGACATCTGAAGACATACTAGCTAACCATAGTGTGGCCAATGATAAGCTCTGGACATAATGCAGCCAAGTAAGGATAATGCATTTGCAGCCATGTAGAGAGGGCATTTTAACTGCTTTAAGCTGAAGTGATTGGGAAACACATGCCTCCCCCCAGCCAGATATATTAACTTGAGGATTAATTTTCATCATGACGCATTCAGAGACAAATATTTTCAGGTGACTTCCCAACAGAACTGAAACCCAAATACTATATGGCTTTGTTTTTTTAGTGCTGCTGATTTTGGAGGTCTCTCTCCACCATTGCAGATGGCCTACTCTATAAGCGCATCTACACATGTGCATTTACCGCACAGTAACTGAAATTACTGCACAGTTCAGGTGCACATCTACACATGCATACCCATACTGTTCAGTAAATATAGTGACTTGGGCTTAAATTTGATACCTGTATCATGCAGGTATCAAATTTACGCCTGATTAGTTATTGTGCAGTAACATAGTGTGTGTGGACTGACTTCAGACTAACTTTAGTCTCAAATCAGTCCATACACAGCATTAATGTACCTTAATGCCTGCATGTGTAGACGCCTGCCTATTCCTACTTACTGCATAGTAAATTTAAGCCGGCATAGATGCACATGTAGACACACCCTCTTATGCAGAAAAAAGCATGGATGTTGTTCTGAATAGGTAGCCATTCAGAGACTTCTCTGCCCAAGACAAGCTCCACCCTTGTTACCTGGTCCTCCAACTCGAGAGAGACTCTTCTGCCTCCCTCACCATCTCCTCACCAATGCACATCTAGGCAGACTTAACTCTGAACACTCTCCATAGGCAGGTGCTATGCCTTCACACCTGGAACACTCTCTCAAAGTCAGGATCCAGCAGTTGCTTCTGGGTGCCCCTGACCTACAGTCACCCTTTCTCAGACAGGTAAATGTTGCCTTCCTTTGTCTCTTCTTCCATTCTCTGGGTTTACTTACCCCTCTTCCTCCTGTATCCCCCTTCTATTTTCACAGTTATCTGGGTTTACTTCACTTACAGGGCTGCCTGGATATGTGGGGTGGCACAAGATGCTCTTGGGTACTCAAAACCGGCTTGTGTTTAGCAAACCCTACTCCATAGCCAATCTGAGAGCATAGGGATGCACAGAAGCTGTAAGCTGCTTGCTTAGTCAATAGGACAGAGGCTACTGTTGGTCAAAAGTCTGTAATATAATATAGCAAGAACACTTTAGCTTGTATAAAAATTCAACAGAGTACCGGTATGTTGTTTGTCTGCTACAGTCCAACTGCAAGTTCTTTTGGACAGGGGCTGTTACTTACTAAGTGCTTGTAAAGAGCCAACAGGACCATGATACTGCCTGGAACTTTTTTGTGCTACCTTAATACCCATAAATAATGAACAATAAACAAGAGTTATCACAGAGGGGTATAGGGGATGTTACAAGTATTTTCCCTTTCTTTAGAATAAGGACTAACCACAATATCCTGGATATCCCTGTGTGATAACTGCTGGTGACCTTTTAATGATGACAGCTGTGTGAAGCAGTTTGAATAATTACCCATGGAAAAAAAAAGGATCCTGTTATATTTTTTACTGACATCCCAGAGTGAGCTGCTCTTTTGTTGTCTCTTCATTCTAAACCATATTAACAATACAGTGAGTTGGAGAATCAGAACAAAAAAAAAAACATTTTGCTACTTTCGATGCAGGTATTTCAGGGCTCCACTTTGTGTGATTCTGAGCTTCCACTGAAGATAATGGCAGTCATTGAATGATTTGCAATTGGGGGCTCTCTACTTCTCATGGGACCTGTCTACTGTGTTGCAACCCCTCTCACAGAGATGGTAGAATGGTTATCTGAAGTGCCTGATGAATGGACTGAAAAATCAACTGTTACCAGAACCCTTTTTAAATTCTGCTATTCTGTCATTTGCAATAACAGCTCTCTAGTGACTGCAAAACACTGAATTTAATTCAACGGACACCAAACTGTGACCCCAGAAGCAAAAACAGAAGGAACAAAAACTGGGGGAAAGGAGGCAGAATGACAGAGAAAAGGAGAAACCTTCAAGCTATAAATCAGTTTAAAATACAGGGTTATTTTTCCTGCTGATTACCATTTTCTGCCTTCACAGATGCACATGGCTGTATTCTATGGGATAAAAAATATTCTTTCCAAACAAAAATAAAATAAAGGCTTAAGTGCATCTGTAGGCTTTTGTACAGGGTACTGGACCACTTATATTAATTTAATGAGATTCATCTGCATTATTACCATCCTAGATTAAGGTCAAGCCTAGGTGGAACCAAACCCCATTCATTCAGAAGACAGACAATAAATCAATATTCCTTTCCTGTACTTCCACATTTTCAGCATGATAGACAGAATAAAAAAGTGGTGAAAGAAAAGAAACACACTTCACAATGCCCACACAGACCTGAACATGATATAAAATGGAATTTAGAAGCTTTTTGATACTTAGCAATTTTTTTAGTCTGTCGGTGAAACTAATACAGCAACGATGGCTGCAATTGATATCTTTTCAGGTAAAACTGACTCTAAAACCAAATTCCATGAAATTCAAATTTATCATTTTCTGGAGATTGAAGGAGATTCGATCAACCTTAAATTTTCTCTGTAATTTGCTTCTGACTTTACCTTATTAGCTAAATTTTGTACTCTGTTGAATCTGGGCAACTCCATTGACTTCAGTGGATTTAGGTGTGATGGTGAAAGATACCATTTAAATTAAACTAAATAGCAGTCAACATAACTTTTCTGAGAGTTGACTCATTCAAACAGGCTGTTAAGAACACCCAGATGAACAGAACTCAACCAGCAGTTTTCTTTTAATATTTTTGAAGGCTAGAAAATGGTACTTAGAGGTTTGCTTCTGGGAATTGGCTTGTAGGTAAATTGGATGTTGTATTAGAACAATGGTCCAAGGTAATGGCAAGGGTTAATTGACTTCTAAAAGCCAGCTTGTGACAAAGTTTCCTTCAGGGCCCACTATGTCTGACATAGGCAAAGAGCAAGCAGACACACAGGCTGGGAAATTGAAGACATGTACCTCACTGTTCCATAACAGAGATAAGGGACTCTGCTGTGTTGGCCAGGTCGTAGTGACCAGCTGCAGAGGTCTTGGGATTTCTGATTTTGGTACATGGACCATGTGATTGGTTTGTAAAACAAAGAAATATGCGGACAGGACTGAACATGGAATGTATGTCAACCACAGGGAAACCAATCAATGATGCCCAGGAATGAAGAGTCATCAGACGGAGAGAAAGAATACAAAAGGAGGGATTTAAGAGCAGCAAAGGGTCCCCAAGAGAGGAACCTGAGGCTGCCGTGGACAGAGGGCACATCAGTTGCCCGTCACACCCACCCCGCTGGGTGGGTGGGGGATGGGGGAGGATGCTTGGCCTCCAACCTCCAGGCTGCTGACATCTGACATTTAGGAGAGAATCTCAGAGTGAAGCTTGCATACTGGCCAGACGTATCTTGACTGTGAATCCTGGGACTAGTAGATATAGAATTGTTTGCATTCTTATCTGCTATCACTGGGTATCAATAAAATTTGCCTATCATCAAATGGAGAGGTGGTGGTTGGTCTGAGGGTTTGGGTTCACCTAGAACAAGGTATCTGGGTCATAAATCTAGTGTCAAAGCATTCTTGGAAAAAAGCAAATGAACTGGGGTAGAAGGAGGTTGGTTAGGACTCTTCTATGATAAAAATAACAGTTACAAAGAATATTAGAAATTCTGAGTCTAAAACCTACCATTCCTAAGCATGCTATTCTTTTTTGATGTTTTCACCTGAAGTCAATATTTCCCCGATCATATTTGATATGTCAACTTTTCCTCTTTAATTAAGATGTTGGCAGGTACACTTTGCTTGAATCTATGCCAAAGGATTTGTTATACTCATGCTCTTTTATGATGTCTCAAGGAAAGGAGAAAACTATTTAATAAATTCTCTTGAAGGCGACTTTCTTGATTCTCCTTCATAACCCTGTTGGATGCCCCTATGGTATCCAATGGGGTAAAAAACATGAGCATCACTCATGCGTGCCCCTTGCAAACAATCAATACAAATCATCAAGAGCTAGATTCTGACACCCTTGCTTATACCAAATACTGGCTTTGTCTACCAGAGATTCCACTGAAGCCAATGAGGCAATAGCTGAAAGTCAGCAGAACCCCTCACAGAGTACAGGGCTACTTAACTTGAGAATTGGGATCAAAATCTTGTCATTAGTGATGGGACATATTTGCTAGAAAAATCAGAGAAATAGAAAAGGCCTTAGCTTAAAGTATCTATTCAGCAGGGACCAAATTGTGTCAAATTTCCTCCTATTAAACGGTACCATTTTCCATGGACTGTTTCATGGATTACAGTGGGACAACTCCAAGAATAAGACAGTGCTCCTCGTGACTCTGTATTAGAAACTGGCCTCAAGGGGAGAAAGGAGTTGGCTGAATGATATCCATTAAAACTGTTATTCAACTGAGTTCTATACGTGTTCTTACTTTTGAGTAATTTATCTAAACCCTATTTTCCCTGCCATTTGAACAGCTTTGTCATTCAGAGAGGACACAGTATGCTGACCCAAACTATCAGCATGTCTCAGGCACAGCATACAATATGCAGGAGGGCATGAAGTCCCCATTTATAATTTTCCATATACTTCTTACCACTTATTGATAAGAAGCCCTCATACTTTTCCCCCAATTTACCTCTCTTCCCATTGTTCAGCTAACAGTTATATCAAAGTGGCAAACCGATTTTTATTTATTTTAAGTGTTTGTTACAAGCACTTTCCATCCCTCCCCTCTTTCACTTCTTTTCCCATAGGGTGCTTGTTTACGGCTTCACTTATTTTTGCAAACTAGTGGAAGATGCATTTGGTCCATTCAGGCAGGAATGGGTGAAGAGAAATGAAGACTGTGCATGAAGCAGGGCCATTGTCTCATTGCTCAGTATTTTTGTATGAGTGTAAAAATCCATGCTTTCACCCTGGGGCCTTGAATGCATTTTGCTTTAATTAAGTCAAACAAAGACATATCTGACTCAATAGGCTTGTATTTTAGATGGTAAGGTAAGGAGGTAAAATATTATCCCATTCTGTGCATGAAAATAAAGATTCAGCCTGCACTGCATAATTAAGAACTGAAAGGGGAAAAATGCAATTCAATTAAGCCTGACAGCATAAAACACAGAA